GGGAATCTGGGCAAGCGATTAGAAACTCGTTGCTCTGGGTGATGGAAACGATCAAGGACACGTTTAACAAAATTCCCGAGTTCGTCACCGCTATTCTAAGAGGCGACATGATCTCCGAATTGGCCACCATAATCGACAAGATGCTCGAGAGATACGACAAGTTCGTGAAAGATCTTCACGTGTCGTTCGTCAAATACATATGGAATCTATGGGAGCAGATGTCCCAGTCGATCTCTCAACAATGGAATCGTTTCTTGCTGCTCGTGGAACCGCTTTTCATCAGATTTATTCACTATCTGGAGACGGTCGTTTGGAAAGCGAGCAAAGAAGTTGTCGATTTTCTTTACGATCGAAGGAACGATCTCATCGCATCCCCCTATTTCGATCGTTTCAGTAATTTAACCCAAGACATCGACAAGTTTTATCGGGATATCAAGGCGAACGACATCGTGACCAACGTTCAAAAGTACTCGGCTTTGACGATACGTTTCTTGAAGGAGAGATATTTCACCTTCGTCCCGTTTGGCAAAGAGTTGAAGGACGTGGTTGACGAGATCGTGTCCGAATTGAAAGAATTGCAGAAACTGCCATCCATACGGTACAGTTTGGAAAAGATGCAACAGATCTACGACAGGGCGTACGACGTTTACGAATATTTCGAGATACGGGCAAAGATCGAAAACGCGATCCGACTGATTCACATGAAATTAATGGACGTGAGCCAGACAGCTTTGCAGGCTGAAAACAGGTACAGGGAAGCGAAAACAAAGTTCATCTTCGATCCTAGGCAGGGTCTCATGTGTTTCGAGCAAAAACTTCCCATGTCGTGGCATGCGTTCAACCAAACGCCCGAGTTTCACGAGATTCCCGAAATCAGAGCTATTTCCGACGCCAAGTCGTACTTCACTTTCTCGGATGTGTCCTTCTGGAGTCTCTATCGGTACAAACCGTACATGGATCCGTTTAACTGGCTACCACCGTTCAGAGGTACAACATAACCACGCTTGCTTCTCGTTCCACCATGCGATGAATTTTTGCTCACCAATGAATTTTGAATTTCAGCCCAAGCTATGATCATCGGCTCGCAACACTTTATTACTTTCGACGGCCGACACACGGACTTCGTCGGCTCTTGCACCTACTTGCTTGCTCGTGATTTCGTGCGAGATACCTTTGCCATTCTTGTCGAGTATCAGCAACGATCTGATCGAATTACGCGCAAGATCATTGTCTTGCTTGGGAAAGACGCTCTCGAAATAGATTTTTTCAACGACGTTAGTATATGTGTGCGTGCGTGTGTGTGTTGTACGTGTGTTGTACGTGTGTGTGTGCGCGCGTGTGTGTGTGTTGTACGTGTGTGTGTGTGTGTGCGCGCGTGTGTGTGTGTTGTACGTGTGTGTGTGTGTGTGTGTGTGTGTGTGTGTGTGTGTGTGTGTGTGTGTGTGTGTGTGTGTGTGTGTGTGTGTGTGTGTGT